GAAGGAACCCCAAGGCTCGCCCAAGGAATCCTCGAGCCTCACAGGTCACGGTCGAGCAGGACTACAAATTCCCCAAGCCGGCCTGGACTGGCGCGACTGTCGGTCGGGGCCTCCCAGACGGAGGAGGAGGAGGAGGAGGAGGAGGAGGAGGAGGAGGAGGAGGAGGAGGAGGAGGGAGGAGGAGGAGGAGGAGGAGGAGGAGGAGGAGGAGGAGGAGGAGGAGGGAGGAGGGATCCGAGTAGATGGGGTCGGAGCACCGCGCCCCGTCGCCGACGCAGCGCCGATGCGCTTCGATGTGGAGCCCGTCTTTCTCCACGCTGACGCCGCCGATGCGTCGCCGACGTCGCCAGCGCGTGGCCGACGCATCGCCGATGCATCGGCGAGGCTGCGCGATCTTCCGACCGCATCTACTGGGCCCCATCCAGAAGGCCTCTAGCAGGGCACCTCGGCGAGCCGAGATCGCAACGCAATGCGCCACCATGAACTGCAATCAGATCAAGAAGGGCGACGCCCTCGAGCTGGGCACGGTGCGCGCGCTGCTCGGCGATATCGAGGAGCGCGCGGGGGTCCCCGAGAACGTTCTGGTGGTCAAGCCCGTGATGGCCGTTGCCTAGGCTCGACAGGGCCAGGGCGAGGACGAACCCACCGCGCAGCAGCCTGCGGAGCAGAAGCGCTGGGCCGAGAGAGTCGAGAAAGCCGAGCACCTGCTGATCGCGGTGCACTCCGAGGCCCTCGCGCGCTACACCTACCCTAAGATGTCCATGCACGGGGCGGGCACGGCCGTCGAGCGCCGCGCCGCCGCCGAGCAGCCGTCCATGAACGACCAGCTGGCCGCCGCGAAGATCCTCCGACAGTTCGGCGCCATCGGCCCTGGTGAGGAACGCCCTGCGAGCAGCAACAAGATGTTCCAAACGGATGGCTGGACCTGTGGGCTCTGGGCGACAAGGTGGGTCGAGCGCGCCGCGCGCGAGATCCGGGCGCCCATCGGCCAGGCAGCCAGCCGCCAGCCGCCTATCGGCATCAGCCAGGCGTGCGCCCGAGGCAACGAATGGATCCAGAAACTGCAGGACGCGAGCGATAACCAGTCCGCCGCGGCCAAGGCCAAGGCCAGGAGCAAGGGCGAGGCCAAGCCGCCGAGTGACCGGACCGCGGCAGAGCCCAACTACGGCACCCTCGAAGGGCACAAGCTGCAGCGCTAGCGTGCGCGCAATGCCTCCCGTGCAAGGACAGCTCCAAAGGATGCCAAACCTGCGTGGGCGAGCGGTTCGAAGTAATTCGAAATAGAGGTTTCCTAGCGAGAACCACCAAGGACCTCGCGATCCCAGGCAAGCTCTATAAACCAAGTCTCCCCGAGCACCAACAGCCGTAAGCGCGAGAATCATCATCCTCATCATCTTCACCGTCATCGTCTTCATTATCACGCTTCATCCTTATCACCCCTCGACCTCCTGAGGTCTCCGATGGATTTCCTCCGGAGTCCTATAGATGTCCGAAGGAATCCAGTGGAGCTCCGATGGAATCCGATTGCTTGCTTCAAGCATGATATGGATGTCCTAAGGATTCCTATGGGTGTCCGAAGGAACCCGATGGATGTCCGAACGAATCTTATGGATTTCCGGTGAAATCGGGGTTCCTATAGCTGTCCTAAGGAACCCAATGTATTGCCAAAGGATTCCAATTCTTTTCCAAGGGAATTCTCTGGGTGCCCGAAGGGCCGTATGGACTTCAGAAGGAGGAGTCCTGTAGATGCCGGTATAAAAATGCATATATATATATATATATATATATATATATATACATATATATATATATATATCATAGGGGATCCTACGTATTCCCTCCAGGATCCGATGGATGCCCTAAGAAATTGTACGCGTGTCCAAAGGGCCCCGATGGATTTCCAACAGAAGTTTACTGATTTACTAATAAGATTCCGATCGACTTCCTAAGGGACCCTATAGATGTCCCGTGGAATCCTATTGCATCCCCCTGCAGGAAATCAGAAATGTTCTCAGGAATCCGATTGATTTCCTAAGGGATCCTGTGCATGTCCTCGGGGATCTCATGGATTGCCTACGGAATATTACGGATGTGATGAGGATTCCTATGGATTCTCTAGAACGAATCCTATGGATGTCCTGTGGAATCCCATAGATGCCCTCAGGAATCTCGAATAATCCCATCGGGATCTTATGCATTTCCCCCCCAAAAAAATCAAATGGATTTGCTAAGGAATCCGATGGATGTCCGAAGACTTCCTACAGCTGTCCGAAGGAATCCTATAGATGTCCGAAGGAATCCCGCGGATATCCGAAGAAATCCGATGGATTTCCTAAAACATCCCATGGATTAATTCAGAAATCCGAGGGATGGCCCCAGAAGCCCCATGGATTCCCAAAGGAATCATAAGGATGCCGTCAGGATTCTTATGGAGCGTCCAAGATCATCTGTACCATCATCGTCGTCATCATATTCATCATTATGCTGCGATCTCTGGGAAAACGTTTATTATCTCCCCTGGACCCCGAACAATATTATCCCATGGGGATTAATATCAGGATCAATGGGTTATCAGAGCCAGCGCCTGGCAGACAGCGCCGGCGACAGGGGCGCCGCCGCCGCCGCCGACGTTGTCGGCGTCGTCGGCGTCGTCGTAGGCGTCGTCGTCGTCGTCGTCGTTGCCGGCGCGGGGGGGGGAAAGGGGTTCTGAACCCCCCGAAAAAATGTTCCGCGGTTGGGTGAACTTTGGTATCCCCCATTTAGTCTTCCCCGGGGTGGCCCGGGGAGGGGGGGGGGGTTCGAAACCATTCCGGTTCTTTGCGGGGAGGGGGGGGCGGTGCGGGGAGTTTGGGGCGGGAGGATGGGGGACCCCCTGGTTTCTGACCCCCCCTGTTCGAATTATTTTCTGGGGGAGGGGTGGAGCGCCCCGGTTTCTGACCCCTCTTTGTAGACATGTTTCAGGACAGTGACGGTAAATCGCATTCCATCCGTTGCTTCGAGCACCGCGTGAAGCAGCCAATTGCTCCTGCTGGCTGTCCCAATAAGTTTCCATAGGCCAGTCGAACCCATCATGGCGGCGGGAGGCCCCTAGCTGACACCGGCGTGTAGAATCTTCAGCAGATCCCCGTGGTGGCCCTGCTGAGTCTCGGAAGCCACGTGTTTGCGTGTTGCCGCAGAAAAGGAGGCTCTGCAGATCTTGGAGGCGAGCGTGACCGATCCCTGGGTGCCCGCAGCTAGGGAAGATCAGAAACCTCTGGAGCCCCTGGGAGCAGGCAGTGCAGTAGTTCGGCCCACTCGTTGGTTCCAGCTGTGGATCAGATCGATGGCTACCCAGTGGACGACACGCCCCCCCCACACACTCAGCATCTCAACCAACACGCCGCTCAGAAGTTGTTAGGCGCAGTGCTCATTCACCAGTGCTGAAGTGGATCCCCGCCTGCGTTTTGAAGACCACGGGTAAGAGGAGCCAAAGCAATGGTTCGGCTAGCGATGTGGAAGAAGCATCCACTCGTTGCCATCGGAAGGGGCATCGACGATGCATTGACGAACTGCAGCGAGCCCAGCTAACATCACATTTCTGATGGGCAGATTTTCCACCACCACTACCATGTGTAGGACGGGGGAGAAGGGAGGATGAGGAGGTCCTCCTCCTCCTCCTCCTCCTCCTCCTCCTCCTCCTCCTCCTCCTCCTCCTCCTCCTCCTCCTACCTATGGTAGCGGTGGTGGAAAATGGGCCCATCAATTTCGCCGCCAACAGATCTGGAGCAGATCATACGCTTCGGGCGCCTGCTTTTCCGGGCGGCCCTGCCGGACGCGTCCCGGACCGGGGATCCAACTCTGTGCTCAGACGGGGAACGTGTTTGATGCTCTGGATTCGTATGATGGGCCTGTTTTCCACCACCACCACCATAAGTTGGAGGGGGAGGGGGTCCTCCTCCTCCTCCTCCTCCTTTTCGTCCTCCTCGTCCTCCTCCTCCTCGTCGTCCTCCTCCTTCCCCACTCCAACTTATGGTGGTGGTGGTGGAAAACATGCCCATCATCGTAAGTTGCGACAGCTTGAACATGAAAAACCCACATACTGTTCAGATACAGAAAGCATGTGAACCTTCGGGTTCAAGAAGCCATGGGGGATCGAGGGTCGGGTGGGCACATCGCCAAAGCAGCCGTCTCCGTTTAAAATTGCACCTTACGCCTTGGAGTCTGAGCAACCCCGTTGAACTGGACTGCCGCTTGGCCTGCTCGAGGCGGAGCAGGAAAAGACCGCCGAAGCTGCGGCAGGCGACTCCAAACGAGCCCGTTTGGCCAGCCAGAGCAGCGAGTGCCCCGCCCCCTGCCCCCCGCCCCCCGCCCCAGACCTCCGACGTCATGATCTTGATCGTGACGTTGACCTCTCCAGAGGTCTTGACCCGTGCCCCAGGACTGGCTTCTCGTCCTCAATCGTTTTGTTGATGGCCCCGAGGCCCAGCAAGGGCCCCGAAGGCCGACAATAATGGCAAACCTGCCGTCATGACTTGCTCATGACCCGAGGGGCTCTGGGGCCCCTGCTCCCTCTCCGCGGTGCACCCTCCCGGGCTGCCCCCTCTCCGTGGAGCCCCTCCCGGGCGAACCACGAGGGCATCCCAGAGCGCCGGAGCCGCTCCCGTCGGCCCGGGCGAAGGGGGGGGATAGCAAAGGGGGGCGGCTGAGAATCAGCTCACGTAGCTGATTTTCCCGGCGCCTCCCGGCGCCGGAGGCGCCCATGTATCGAGGAACGGGCCCCTCGGCGGGGCCGAAACCAGCTGCATGCAGCAACTTTCGTACCCCCCCCTTTCCCAATCCCCCCCTTTCGTCCGGCCCGATCCAAGACCGAGGACCTCTCCCGAGCGCTCCCGCTCGAGCCCAAACCTGGCGGGCGCGAGCCTGGAAAATAGCGGCCACGGCGCCCTCTCTCGAGAACCGAAAACGGACAATTCGCTAATCGACGTGTCACTGTTGGGGGTTCTGCCCACCCCCGAGAGGACCTCTCCCGAGCGCTGCCGCTCGAGCCCGCGCCGCGGCATCTGCGGCGTGCTGGCCGCGCCTTCGGCGCCAGCACCGCCGGGGGCCTGCGGCGGGCTCCGCCCGAGGCAGCACGCGGGCGGGTGGCACCCGGGGCGGAGAGTGGGAAGGAGGGGCGAGGATTGGGAAGGAGAGGGAAGAAGGGGGGGGGGGCGCGGGAGCAGGGGAGAGAGGTCCTTCTCCACCGCCTCCTCCGCCTCCTCCTCCTCCTCCTCCTCCTCCGCCTCCTCCTCCTCCTCCTCCTCCTCCCCCTCTTTCGTCTCTTTTTGAGCGGGCTTTAGTCCTAGGGTTGCAGCGCATGCCTCCTCGTCCTCCTTCTGTGTTCTCCTCTTCTTCCTCCTCCTCCTCCTCCTCCTTCTTCTTCCCTTCTTCTTGTTAGTATGAGCATTCGCATTCGTATTGCTAGTATGGTGCTTGCTATGTTTTTGGCTCTTGCGATTATATGGGTATTACTATTATATCGTAGTGCGTTTCGTCTTACCAGTATTATTGTTATTCGCATGTGTCGTATCCGCCTTTTGCTGATTGCTACTTTATAGATACGGATTGATAGAAACAATATTCTTGCTAGTCGTACCAGTATCAGTTAGTAGTCTGAGTATCCATAGAATTCTTATTACGAGTATTACCGGCAGTACTAACGTAATTGAGCTATGATGAGAAGAACTCTTGTTGTTGTGGATATTAAAACTCTTAGTATTACTATTGTTATTAATGTTATTGCTATACTCCTCCTTCTTCTCCTCCTCCTCCTCTTCCTCCTTCTTCTTGTCTCCTCCTTTTCCTCCTCCTCCTCCTCCCTCCTCCTCCTTCTCCTCCTCGTCCTCCGCATCCACTTCCTCCTCCTCCTGCTCCTCCTCCTCCTCCTCGTCTTCCTCTTTCTCCTCCTCCTCGTCCTCCTCCTCCTCCTCCCTCGCCTCCTTCGGGACCTGGGGAGTGGGGGATGTCGCCGAGGGCGGCGGCGGCACGCCACACGGGCCTGCGCGCGCGGAGGCGGGGCGGGCACCCCGGGGCGGGGGCGGGGCGGGCCTCTGCGGCGGCGCCGCCGCGAGGGCCCTCGGCGGGGGCGCCGTGGCGCCCGGCCATGGCGCGGAGATCTGGCGCTCCGCTTCTCGCCCCCCTCTCTCCCCCCCTCCCTCACGCGCCCCTCTCTACTTCCCTCCCCCTCCCCCTCCCTCCTCCTCCTCCTCCTCCCTCCCCTCCTCCTCCTCCTCCTCCTCCTCCTCCTCCTCCCTCTCCCCTCCTCCCCTCCTCCTCCCTCCCTCCTCCCTCCTCCTCCTCCTCCTCCTCCTCCTCCTCCTCCTCCTCCTCCTCCTCCTCCTCCTCCTCCTCCTCCTCCTCCTCCTCCTCCTCTCCTCCTCCTCCTCCTCCCCTCCTCCTCCCTCCTCATCCCTCCCTCCTCCTCCTCTCCTCCTCCCTCCTTCCTCCTCCCTCCCCCCTCCCCCTCCTCCTCCTCCCTCCTCCTCCTCCTCCTCCTCCTCCTCCTCCTCCTCCTCCTTCTCCATGCTGTCCCCGCCCGCTCCAGCTCTTCGGGCGCGCTCCCCCTCGGCCGCTCTGCTCGCTGGCGGCGGCGGGGGGCCACAGAGCCGCACCGGCGGGCGGAGCACGTCATCGTCGTCGACGGCGAGTCGGTCGGGCGGATTCCGGGGCCGTCTTCGGCCTCCGGGGGCCTGCGCCGGGCCTCGGGTGTGGGCGCCCGGAGTGGGCAGGGAAGCAGTGGGCACAGTGCCCAACAGCAAGTGTCGTGCCGAAGCGACAGCGGCCGCTGTTTGGTGTTCGGCAGGCGGCCTTCTGCCTCGAATGGAAAAAGGCCGCGGCGGCGCGGACAGCGAGTCCTGTTCAACAGGAAGAGGAACTGCTGTTGGGCATTGTACCCATTCTTTCCGTACCCATGTCGGTCGCCCCGATCGGGGCCGTCAGAAGAGGACTCAGGGCGACGAGCCAGCACCAGGGGAAGCGGTCGAGTCCTCCGGGGCCCACGCTTCCAATGTTCTGCAGGGGGTCGGCCCTCTGGTGCTCGGCCATGCGCGGCGGACCCTGACACCCAGGCGTTGCCATTTTTTAACAACTGGGCGAGCTCGCCTGGTTCCGCGCACGCAGCTGGAAGTCCTTCTACGGCCCCCCCGCGCCGACCTGCATGGCCTGTCCTTGCCTGCTCTTTCGTCCTGGTCTCTGTCGCTTCGTGCTTGTGTTAGCTTCCAGTGCAACCCGCAGCTCGCTTTGACCGGCGCCTGACCGCCTGGTGCACCTTGGCGCCCGCGGACTGTAAAAGTTCGCCCCGTTCCAGGCCCCAGGACCATCACAAATGCATCCGGCTCGCAAAATGCGGCAGGAAGATGGGGTCTAGGGCTCCGGCAGCCATCGCGTCCTGGCAGTTTGCTCGCAACGTCGGCTCCCAGAGGAAGGAGGGCGGCGGCGGGGATACACAGAAGGCATCTACACACCACCAGTCCCAGACCCCCGACGTAATGATTTTTTCATTACGTCGACCCCCAGAGGTCCCAACCCTTTCCCCATGACCAGTTTTGCATCCTGAGTCGTTTTTCGTCGCTCCCGAGGCCCGGTGAGGGCCGCCGGAGGCCGAAAGTTAAGAAAAACCTTCCGTCATGATTTTTGCCACTCTTCAAGGGGGTCTGGGGTGCATGGCTAGTGCCATCGTGGCCGAGGTCGGGAGAGTCTACACACCATCCTGGGTCCGGGAGGGCCCTGGCCAGGCACGGCGGTGGTGCACGGCTGCCTTCCTGCGGAGGGAGCAGGGGGACAGGAAGGAAGTGCGAGCACCGGGGGTGCGCGGGTCCTGCGTCGGCTGGGCGAGCGCAACGTATCAGCATCACCATGCCATCACCATCTTAACCACCAGCACCATCGCCATCGCCATCACAATCGCCACCGCCACCACCACCACCAACACCACCGACGCCACCACCATCATCATCCCCCTCACCACCAACATCATCACCACCATCATCACCGTCACCATCATCACTCCATCATCATCATCATCATCATCATCATCATCATCATCATCAGCATCAGCATCAGCATCAGCATCAGCATCCTCATCATCACCCTCATCAGCACCATCATCATCCTCATCATCATCACCATCATCATCATCACAACCGAGTCATCGACATCGACACCACCATCACCACCATCATCATTGTCAACGTCGTCGTTTTCCACAGCATGTCCATCACATCCACCACCACCATCGTCGTCGTCATCGTCATCATCGTCGTCAGCCTCATCATCATCCTCATCCACATCGTCACCACCGCCACTCACTACCACCATCGCCAACACAAGCCTCAACAGCATCTTCCTGACCACGACCACGATCATCATCATCATCATCATCATCAGCATCAGCATCATCATCATCAGCATCATCATCATAATCATCATCATCATCATCACCAGCATCACCAGCATCACCATCACCATCACCATCATCATCCGCATCATCATAAACGTACTCGTCATCGACACCATCATGATCATTCGCATCACCATAATCATCATCACCACCACCATCATCATGGTAATCGGCATCATCAGAAACAGAATTGCCACCATCATCGTCATCATCATCATCATCGGCATCATCATGCTCATCGCCATCGTCGTCCTCATCGCCACCGCCACAACCACAAAGCACCAGCACCAGCGTCCTCAGCATCAGCCCCAGCGCACGCGGCACGCGCGCGACGGGCGGCCAGCCGTCGGGATTGACCGTGAGCAGGATGTTCTCCAGGGACAGGTCCTGCGCGAGGGCGCGCCCGCTCCCGTGCCCTCTGCCGCGGCTCCCCTCGCTGTCGGGCCGCTCCCACCTCCACGCCCTCTCCCCAGACCCCCGACGTCATGATTTTTTTCATTACTAGGGGGAAAACAAACCTACCTCGCTTTTGACCACCCTCGCTTCCAAGAGATACCAAACGACGCCAAATTGCAGCCTGTACTGGTCAATCCGCTTGACGAGGAGGCGCGTGGTATGGCTTGGTTTTGCCTGGAAGCGAAAGCGGGGTAGGTAATTCACGCTCTGAATTACGTCGACCCCCAGAGATCTCGACCCATTCCCCGGGACCGGTGTTTCCTCCTGAGTCGTTTTTTGACAGTCCCGAGGGCCGGCTCGGGCCTCCAAAGGCCGAAAATCATAGAAAAAACCTCCCGTCATGATTTTTTCACTGCTCGAGGGGGCCTGGGTCCCACGCCCTCTCCGCCTCTCGGGCGCTCCTCGAGCGTGCCCGTAAGGCGGTCCTGCCCGCGCTGGCTCCCCTCGCGGGCGGCCCGGCCACCCGACGGCGGGCCCACCCGGCGGCAGCGAGGGTCCGTCTCGGGCGCTCCTCGGGCCCCATGCGCCTCTGCCGCGTCGGGCTCGGCCAGGACGCCCGCTCCCGACGCCGGCAACGACGATGCGGGCAATACTTCTCGCTTGCGGCCCTGCCCGCGCTGGCTCCCCTCGCGGGCGGCCCGGCCACCCGACGGCGGGCCCACCATTGCGGCGGCAGCGAGGGTCCTTCTCGGGCGCTCCTCGGGCCCCGGCGCTGCTGCCGCGTCGAGCTTGGCCAGGACGCCCGCGCCCAACGCCAGCAACGACGATGCGGGCAGTACTTCTGTCCATGTCCACTGCGATATGGAGTTTCGGGCTCCGTTCCCCAGAAACCAGAGGCGCGCTGGATATGGATACACTTGCCCCCTGGAGGCTCGATGTTTATCCATATCCAGTGCGCCTCGGCCTTGTGATGCTCCTCCCCAAAAAGTCCAAGACGCACTGGATATGGATACGAACCTTGCCCGCAGACGACGATGGTCGGCCCATCCCCCCCCCGTCTCCAGGGGGGGGAGCTCCGCTGCGAAAGCAAATCTGTCCAGAGATGCCGGCCTTCCACTTTGGGGATGGATGCCTGCATCCCAGACCCCCTCGAGTAATGAAAAAATCATGACGGGAGGTTTTTCCCAATTTTCGGCCTCGGGAGGCCCTCACCGGGCCTCGGGAGCGTCAAAAAACGACTCAGGATGCAAAGCCGGTCATGGGGAAAGGGTCGGGACCTCTGGGGGTCGACGTCATGAAAAAATCATGACGTCGGGGGTCTGGGATCAGGGATCCGTCCGCACTGAACTGGACGACCCATACTTCGAGCAGGGGCCGACCGTCCCAGCATTCCCAGAGGCATACACCCTGCGAAATGCTTAAGAAATCTTGGGTTAAGAAATTCATAGTCTCAGATCTTGAACAAAAACCCAAGATTTCTATCAAAATCTTAGGATTTCCATGGAAACATTAAGAATAATCGAGACTCTGGCCGAAAATTTAGGTTTTCTTAAGCATCGCCCAAGGTGTACCACGAAATCTTCTCAGAACCCCTCCTAACGACAACAATTTTCCCATAACAAAGAAACCTATTAAGACAAACCAGTTTCGGTCAGAAATGTGCTCAGAACTGCTCGTGCAAACCACAAAAGGTTCCTACAACATTCTCTGGTGAGCCGGCAGGCAAGCCAGGACGCTTCGCCACTGCTCGAATTATGCCCGGGGGGGGGGCCGCCCAAGGCAAACGCCTGCCCCCCAAACGAAAGCAATCCCAGTTCACGGGCCCACACTTCTTCCGGGATGCCCCTACCAGGTACGCCTAGAACCAGCCAGAAGCATGGAGCACAAGGATGCAAGGCAGACAAAAGGGGCAAAGGTGGAATGAACATCGCCAGGGCTGCCAGTCACTCGAAGGATGATGCGGACCCTTGCCAGGCATAGCCGAGGAATGCAAGGAAGCGTAGTAGACAACAAGGGGAGAGGGGCAGGCAGGGAGAGGCATAGTAGACAAATAGAGAGAGGGGGAGATACGGAAAGACAGAAAGCAATGAAGAGCAGCAAGAAAGAGAGAGAGAGAGAGGGAGAGAGAAAGCGTAGAAAGAGAGAGTGACAGAACAAGAAAGAGCTCTCAGCATCTGCGGGCGGGCCCACATGTTAGACATCGGCGCTGTTCGCAGAAGTGAAAAAAAAGGAACCCAAGGGTTTCGGGCCCCCCCTGGGCCCAAAATCTAGCAGACGTCTGCACTTTCCCGAGGACGCCGACCGCCGCGTG